GTGGGAGAAAGACAAGAAGGAGAGAGGCAGAGACAGAGACAGAGACAGACAGGACAACATGTTCCCAGGCGAGAACCCAGAACACTGGGTGATGATGAGGTTATCTTTATTTCTCGTAGGCAGAGGAGTTTTCAAAAGAAATAGTTGGAGAGAATCCTGCTGTTGCCTCCCTGTGTCAAAGATATCAAATCTGGCAGTTAAACCTTGAAATATCCAGAGACCCTCAGACTCAGCAGGAGAAGTCAGCAGAGGGTCCCCTCAATGTCCCCAATCTGCCCTCCCCATGTGCAGGCTTCCTGACCTGCCCACACCTATGGCAGCACTGCAGTGGTGGCCAGGAAGGCCAGGAAAGGGTGGGATTGACTCACTTTTCCTATTTATTTTGCTTTGTTTTTACGGTTTGGGCTCTCTGCAGCTCATTGAAAAGATCACGCACTTGTGTGTGTGAAGAGACGCCAGGCTGTGAGCCAGGTGTGGTGGCACACGCCTGTCATCCCAGCACTGTAGAAGGTTTTTGTTTGTTTGTTTGTTTGTTTGTTTTTGCTCCGAATGCCTTCAGGGCAGGTTTGGCTGGCTTGAGTTGTGGGGACTGAACCACAGCAACCGGAGCCTGACTGCTTTGTTGAAGCAGCCACTTCAAGAACTGAGCTAAGTGCAAGAGAACCTGGCAGCTTCGTCAGGCATGGAGATGCACGTCTGTAATCCCAGCCCTCGGGAGGCTGAGGCAGGAGAATTACTGCAAGTCTGAGACCAGCCTGGGCTGCAAAGTGAGCCCAAGGCCAGCCTGAACTGCATAGCGAAACCCTGTCCTAGAAAAGAGAAGCTGGCAGTTCCAGGCTGTACTGGAAAATGTGCTTAGATGGAAATTGAGGATTGTGTTGCTAGCAGCCATTTGGGGTTCTTGCAAGGGGAATAAAATAATAAAGGACACACACACAAAAAAAACAAGAACTGAGCTAAGGGGCAGGCCTGCCTCTAGAAGGTTGAGGATGATCCAAAGTTCAAGTCCAAAGCTGGGTGTGGTGGCGCATGCCTGTAATCCCAGCATTCAGGGGATGAGACAGGCAGATCCGTTCGAGTTCATGACCAGCCTGGGCTACAAAGTGAGCTCAAGGCCAGCTGGAACTACATAGACAGATCTTGTCTCAAAAAGACAGGAAAAAAAAAAAAAAAGTTTAGCCTGGATGACTTAATGACATAGTGAGACCCCATCTCAAAATAAAAAAATAAAAATTAAAAAGTAATAATAATTGGGGGCTGGTGAGATGGCTCAGTGGTCTAAAGCACCTACTTAGAACAAACTTAGCAAAGCACAGGGACCATGGTTCAATCCCCCAGCACCACATGCCAGCCAGCCCCGCCCCCTGGTGGGCTGAGCTGGCCACATACACACACACACACACACACACACACACACA